CCGCAGCTCCTATTACTACAGGGAAAGATAGGTAATGACATAGCTCAGGTGAGGACTGAGTCTGAGGGCCTAGCCACAGTTTTAGGAATATAAACTGTCCCTTTGCAATTGGAGGAGCTAGGCCATCTTACTCTCATCCAACTCTGCCACTGTGAATCCCCTCACATAGGGTTTCCTTGCTTAACAAATAAAGACAAAATATATCTAGATAAACATGAATTTGAGATAAACAATATTTTTAGTATAAGTATACATAGTGAAATATTTAGAAGGTTCCAATTCTTAATAAATTTTGATTATTTATATAAAATTAAAATTTAACTTAGAATTTTGTATTTTAATCTAAGTTTTCTACCATGTGGGTGAGAGGGAGAAAAATTCCAAGTCATTTTCTAGGCCTGTAACTGTCTGTAGTGTCAATAGACAAATCCTAAAGACATAAATTGCAAGGCACCATAGAAATGCTCTTTGAAACTATGGAGAATTATGTAGAACTGTACCATGATTAATAAAAACCCAGAGACAGAAATTGGGGTTCAAGCTGAAGTTTAGAAAAGCAAAACAGCTAGCTCCTGGCTCTTACTTCAGTCCAAAATGGCAATCCTGTCTCCAGGAATCTCAGAATAAGACTGTGTCTGAGAGCTGTCTCCTCCCATCTTATATTCCTTTCTAGGGCTTTAAAGGCATGCACCACTACTGCCCAGTTTCTATGGCAAACTGCGTGGCTACTGGGATTAAACGGGTATGCCTTCACTGCCTGGTCTGTAAGGCTAATCAATGAGGCTGTTTTACACTCTGATCTTCAAGTAAGCTTTATTTATTACAATACAAATGAAATATCACTACATAGAACTAGTAATAGGATGTGAGGGTTTAGGTGGGACACTAGCAATGTCCCCTTAACATTATATAAAAATGTAGAACACTGAGCCTGAAATGTGCTGTTTAGTAGAAGTTGGTAGAAGATGGAGCTGTATTTCTAGGCAGAATTTCTTCCATGTTGCTGAAGGGTATGGCAAGCATTCTTGCCATGAGCCTTTGCACATCATCATACTCACCTATTTTGTGGTTCTTTCTTCCATTTCGGTCCCCTATACACACACTAAGATTATCCTTTTACTTTTAATTGCTCATCCTCATTCTATGCTTCACTTTTCTATTTTCCATGTCTACTAGAAATAGGTCACATTAGGTACCTTCACTATTCAAAAATTCTGTTTTCCGTATGTGTATTTGGTGAAAGCAAGTTTATTAAATCCATCCCATGATTTAATACTATCTCTACTTTCATTAGAAGTAATATTATTTTCATGTCCTATATAGAATTTTTAATCTCTTTGCAACTGAGATTTCAGGTAGGCAGTATCTTCTTCATGGTAGTATTCTATAGCATGGTGGGATTGTTTTAGTTTGCAGTCAAGATCATGTACATAGTCAACACTAGTTTATTTGACTTTTTTCCTTTAAATGAAACACTATAATTTACTCAGCAAACTTCTTCAAAAAAAGAAAAGAAGCTTTAAAACTGTTTTTATGTGTGTTGTGTCTCTAAAAACCTGTGAATTTTATTCCATAAATTTACCTATGAGTGTTGGGGATAGTGTTCTACCTTTAAAATGGTTGGGAAATTGAGGTACATGCTTGTACCCATAGTCAGGCTACTACTTGGTGAGTTCAAGTACCACTGAGAGACTACATCAAAAAACAGGTAGATGACAACTGAAAACATGAAATACTGGTAGTATTTGCTTTTACTCTAAGTCCCTGGGCTATCTAGTCTCTGGTTCTTGGTCACCCAAGCAGTGTCAGGGATAAGGAGTGGACCTTATGTCAAATTAGTTATTATTTGGTTATTCTCATAAGCTTTGTGCCACTATTGTCCTTGCATCCAGATCTACTAATTCTTTCTTTTTCTATTTTAACTTCTATTGGGTAAGGAGACCTTTCTTTAATAGAAACAGGGATTTGAAACCAAAGCCACAAATGGTCATAAACAGCCTAAAGCAAAATTGTCAGACAATTGAGAGCTTATGAATAAAGAATTCTTTAAGTATTAAAGTGAGGATAAATGATAGAACAGGTAGGAAAATACGGATTCAGTCATATTATCATCAGGAAATGCATAAAGTCTGTATTTATAACCCATTTACAACTTTTTCCTTTGGAATGTGTTAGCCTTTCCAAATAGTTTGATTTTTAAATATAGATATTCATATCTGTGAATGAGTATGTATATTCAAGCTAATGTTTGGCCTTATGGCCTATAAATTCTCCACCTCAATTTTTCAATTCTGTTGGAGAAAGAAAGAAGTACAGACAATACATAAATGAAAGGGTATGCCTGCTTTCCAACAACATTAAAAGAGATAAGTCTAGAAAATGAAATAACTTTATTGATATTTAAATATGAATTATAGTATTTATGTATCATAAGATACTTTTCTTTTGTTTTTATCATCAATCTAAAAATGAGAAATTATTTTCATCTTGCTAGCCACAAAATTATTATAAGGGAACACTTAGTATCTCACAGTCACTCACTAAACCAGAAAATGTATCTTTATCTAAGACAGTCACCATGAGGGCAGCTCAGCACTTTCCATGTGAGCACCATACTAAGCAGGAAACATGGTAGAGCATGGGAAAGAATGAGTGTAGGCAGATGCATGTCTGAGACTAATGAACTTACTGAGCAGTTTAGCACAATATTTTCCAGCTTTTTCTGTGTATTGGAATCAGACAGGGGGTTTTAATATATTTATTTCTAGATCACATGCTCAGGGTATCCAATGTGATGTTTCAGATATACCATAGGGGGTCAAGGCTTAGCTCACATAAAGTTTAAAGATGTAGCATCTGGGGACACCAAAGACTAGAAGAGAACTGCATTTAGCCTTTTTCTCTTTTCTTTTTAGAGTTTGGTATTTCTTCCTCATGTATCAGACTTATCTTATTTTCTAGTTATAATTTTTTATTTCTCATTTTCTTATGAATTCATTTCAGATTTAAAATAATTAAAAGAACTTTAAAAAAGGCTTATATGCCTCGGTAGGAATACCCTGCATTCTGTGTGGTACCATGCTTTATACCTTGATCTCAGTGTTAATGGCTCTAATGCTGCCTTCTGGACATAATCATTTGACCATGTAGCGCAAGCTCAACATTATCAGTCTAGAAAGGGAGAACGCTGGAAAATTATTTCCTAGATACCATTCCTGGGAGAGCATTATGTAAGCTCAGAAAGGCAAGGCAATTTATAGTATCTGTCTTATCCTTGGCTCCTCTGTCCAGAATTGCACATATCTCAAAAGCCATTATCAATATTTGGGGGCATCACGGAATTAGAGATAACAAACACGTAGGCTGTTCAAAGTATATTTCATAAACTAAGTTAGACAAAACTCTTCTAATCTCGAAAATCTGTCTTCCCATAACCTAACATAACTAAGCACCACAAACCCTGTCAACTGGGTCTCCTTCTTTCCAGTTTCCCCTTAGCCACATGAGCCTGAACATTTGTTGCCAATAGTCTCTAATACATATTTAAATCATGGTAACATCAAAAATGGATTTCAAACTTCTCTAAATTTAATGTAGATGCCATCATAATCTTCCTACTTAAGTGGCAAAAGACCATGAACTTATATCCTATTTTAAATAGCATCTAAAACACTTGGCAGCTAAGCATTTAAAAGTCTGTGCCTCTTTAGATTCAACCTTTTCTTGGTATAATCAAGCAAAAGGAAATATTTTTGACACTCACAGTAAATGTCATGGACAAATAGGAAAGTCTGTGTCATTTTTCAGCTAATGCTGTTGGCAACAATAATTTCCAGTAGTTGACTTAGGATCACAAGAAGATTTTTCTTACTACAGGTGAACCTGTTAAATGTTATCATTCTGATTAACCAGATGCTGCCAGAGAATCTACAGTAAATAGGACTTTGCTTTCAGCCCTTTTGAAACCACCTTGGGAAATTTGGCAAAGCCACTTGGGTGTTGGAAGGCCTTCAACACAGGGAAGCACAAATATTCACACGAATTCTTTTTTACTTTCTTGAGCTCTTTTTGAAGAGACATTTTTAAAGGTGATCCCCCCAAAAAAACATTATGGAGATGTACTTATTTAGAATATTGTTCTGAGAATTGATCATCTATGGACATGACACATCACTGGGTCGGTGTCTGAGATGAACGCATGTAGAAAAGTGCAGATTGATTAACTGTTGTCAAAATGCAGTGGTTCAGGGAAATTGTTCTAAAACTTAGAACTCCAAATTGCTTCAAACAATTGAAACAGCAAATGTGTTATTTTGTCAGGATCAGCAAGCAGTGAGCAACTACTTTGAGCTATATCCATAGTTCTGAAATTTGGAGTTACCACTAGAGAGAGGAGGCCAAACATGCTCCGTGCTATCAAAAGGATGCTATATAGCAGGTTTTTCAAGATTCTTAGTCAGATGTCAAAAACTTGCACATATGCACAGGACTTAAGACACTAAACAATACACTCTGTAGCAAGAGGGAATAGTTAGTTAAAACCTGTAAGTGAACAGAGCAAGAAAAACAAGGTCTGTGCTTGTCAAGAAAGATCTGATGGGGAAGGCAGAACTTCTGTACTGAAAGGAGAGGAGGGTTCTCATGGACAAAGAATAAAAAAAAAGATGAGGATGGTGGATGCATATGACTTAGATGTGCCTGTAAATTTTGTCATTTAAGAATTATGAATGACTTAGAGTACTGATGAAAACAGGGAAATAAAGTTGGAAAGGTAGGGTGAAGCTCAGTTAAATGACATTGGAATTAGACAAGTTGGGATGTGGACACAGGACCTAGTGAACTCCTGCAGGTCTTTGAGGAAGGCACCATGAACACTACTGAGCAGCTCCAGTGTGGCTGGCCCTAGTCAGAGTGGTGTGGTTTGCATTCCTCATCAACATTTCTGGGCTGGCATCTTTGACTGCTGTCAAAGTTCAAATGTGCCTTATCCTTATGTATAGGAGAAGTACTGCTTCACCAGATCTCATTGACCAGGAGGCAGGACGAGGAACACTGACAAATAGCTACAGCAACGGTGGAACCCCAGCCACCCAGAGGTCACCAGCCCCAAGTGTTCGTAGTGTGACCTCCATCAGCAGTAGAGTGAGTATACAACCGTGAAGAGACATCCAGTCTCCAGGACTTGCTTTACCACCACCCATGACTCGTTTAAATTCTCTGTATCTCTGCACATGTTGTTCATACTGTTGAATGGACTGTATCCGTAGCTTTGCGCCAGAAATCCAAAGTGAGGACAAAAGGGCAAGACAGTTTTGAAACGTGCTGTTATGTGGCCCATCCTTAAATGGCTGTGCAATTTAAAGAAATAGGAAACTTTCACATTACTTCTCCGAGGACATATTTATAAATTAGCTGTTTCTCTACAGGAAAAGTAGAACCTTGGAGTGATTTTATAATTTTCTTTCTTTACATCTATTAAAATGACAGGTCAAACACATAATAAATGCTTAAATTGCTATTATATATAAATATGCTAAATGAGAAATTATTGTTTGTATCACATTATTTTCCTTTAAGGAAGAAAAGGCACAAAGCATTTGGGAGTAATACTTTCTTTTACCCACTATTCTATTGGAAGTCATTCTTGGAAAACATTACCATCTATTAGACTTTTGGGGGATGTTTTCAAGACAAGGTTTCTCTGTAGCTTTGGAGCCTGTCCTGGAACTAGCTCTTGTAGACCAGGCTGGCCTCGAACTCACAGATATCCTCCTGCCTCTGCCTCGCTAAAGGCGCACGCCACCACCACCCACTCTAGAACTTTTTATTAAGCAAGAAATCCCATGTTTCTGGAATATATAGTTAAGAAATCATTATATATATACTTTAGTACTTTGATTCAGCCATAATTTAGCGAAGTGAAACCTCCTGAAATGTCCTGGACAAACAAAGATTTAAAATAAGTGAAAGAATCAGACATGCAAATGTCTGGACTGGCAAAGTATCCTCCAGACAGACTAAATCAATGTTCAACACATAGAAAGAAGGCTGATCTATCTTTAATAATTAATGCCCTGACTCAAATAGTTTGTAAAATATCTGGACACTTCATGAGGAGCTGCCAGCACAAAGAACCAGAGATAGGCATGGCCAATTTACTAAAGGAAGACCAAAAGGGCCAGCGTGCTGCTGTAGGGCTCATATAGCAGAGCAACATGGCTTAGCATTTGTTTAGGCAGGATCTCGGGAGGGAGCTGCTGAGAAACAGCTGAGGGAAGTAAGCGAAGCCTACAGACCCTTTTGGAAGCCTTTGCCATACTGCAGCTATTAAAGGGGGCATGGAAACAGGAAACAGGAAGGTAGCAGCAGGATGTGTAGTGAGCAGAGTGGTTCAGTATTTTGGAGGAAGAATCAAAAGACATTCAGACAGCCTGAATATCACTGATTGATCTGTTTCAATATAGCCTAAACTGTATTTCCTTAGATAAAAGGCATCTTCTGAGTTTCATAAATATTTATGCTAAGCTCAGCAACTGGCTTCTGTTCAGCTGTCAGAAAAGTGCAGAGGTTGTTGATGACTATATTTTCTTCTTCAGTAACCTAGCAAGGAGTGATATTGAATGTATTTAGGAGCTGGTAGTAAGGAGACACTGACCAGTCAGAGTGATTACTTGTACAAGGCTCAGGAGCCTTGCATTCCTTATAAAGAGAATTGTGGGCAAGGAAAGGCATGAGGAAAGGAGGGTTCCAATGAAGATTATGATAATGTTTACCAGTTACTATGATAAACAAGCATTCAAAAAAGTTGTCAACTGCTGTGCCTGTGCCAGTGGGTAACAGCTGAATGCCAATAAGGGAACTCAGTTTGGTTGATCACAAAAGAAGGATTATCTTCCCAGGTGTCATTTGAAGGGAAAGAACAATTTTGCCTAAAGTTATTTCCTACAATGAAATTGGAAAATTTTTCGATTCATATACAGTGAGGGAGTGGAACTTGTTCTTGTGTTGTAACTGATCTAAGCACAGTTTCTCCTATAAATGAAAACCTTTTGACTATCTCTGTTTATGCTAGATATAAACTGCTAAGTCTAGGCTTCACCACCTGAAGTTCCAGACCAGTGGTTCTCAACCTTCCTAATGCTGCACCCCTTTGATACAGTTCCTCATGTTGTGGTGACTCCCAACTGCAAAATTATTTTCCTTGCTACTTCATAGATGTAATTTTGCTACTGTTATAAATTGTAATGTAAATATTTGTGTTTTCTGATGGTCTTAAGTGACCTCCATGAAAGGGTCTTTCAACCACAAAGGCTGAGAACCCTTGCTATAGACTATGTGTTACATGTTAAAGACTGTACAATGTTAACTGACCTATTAATGTTCAATATTAATGGCACCACCAGATCACCCGTGGGGAAATTTTCCATCATCATAATTACCGGTGAGGAGCTTAGTCTTGCTTCGTTAGAGGACTTTCATGTGCAAAGAATTTTATGATGAGCTGTTAAAAACTGACCTAAACTACTTCATCCATTTGACCTCTATTACGGTCCAGACAAACTTTGCTAGGCTATGATAATTAGAGGAATTAGAAGAAATATACTTTCTGCTATAGGTTTTACATGTTGGAAATTATGAAATACTGAATACAGTCTACTGGAGCTGAATTGATCAGCATGCTAAACAAGTAAGAAGCAGATCTATCTGTGGAGACTTCATTAAAGTATTCCTGTAGGTCTAAGATGTCAGGCAACCAAGAGGGATTTCATCCTGTAGGCACTACTTAACCATTTATAATGAAAAGAATGGTAAAATGTCTCTTAGGTTTAACAGTTATCACACCATGGTGCCATCTTCCTTGACATTTAATCTCAGCCTAGTTCTCAAGAGAAGTACAGGATTTTTATAAAATATTAAATAAAGCTCAGTGTTAGGAGGTGGTGGTGCACATGTTTAACCCCAGCATTTGGGATGTGTCTACCTGAGTTTGAGGCCAGACTGGTCTACAGAGCAAGTTCCAGGACAGCCAGGGCTATTACACAGAGAAAACTTGTCTCAAAAAAAAAAAAAACCGAAACAAACAAACAAAAAAAGCTTAACTACATAGTGTCCCCTAGACATGACAGAGAAAATGTACCTATGAAATGTCAACAATATGACTGCTGAGGGGGTGAATCAGTTTCCTCCAAGGCTGGGTTCTCACATAGGTTTTCCAATCTCAAGTGGTCAGCCTTGGACACACATGTACATACAGGCAATGCTAAATGAACACAGTAAGTTACACACACATGTTATATATATATATATATATATATATATATATATATATATATATTATACTATATTTTTATATGTGTTTATACGAACTATTGTTTTATATATTCAATAATGGCCTAATATTAATGACAGATTAAAAATAATTAAAGAAGATATTATTAATTTGGGAATGAATCAAGAAAGGAGTTGAGGTGTAGAGTGATGTAGATGGAAGTACTCACCATTTTTTTTTTTACAAAAGCAAGCTTACACTGCCCTTATAGAAATCAGCAGATCTGGGATAGGGTTTGCTTTTTGTCAGAGTACACAATGAAAACTAATCTCAGACTGTATTCTGCCACCTGTACAAACATTTATTTGTAGCTTGGCATCCCCTAAATCACCTATGGCTCTAAGATGAAGAAGTACCTGCTGCATCCTGCAGGACTGTTGGGATTGGGTGCACTGGGCTCTCTGATGGAAAAGCTGCAACCCCATCCCAATCTCAGCCTGTTTATTATATAACAGTCTAGTAGGGAGGTGGGCTCATTGCGTACAGCTGAACATGCTTACAGTTTAGCTAAACTCAGTAGCTGTCTTTTGGCCATAAACATCCAAGGGAGAATAAAGCTACTGTGGATATTTTCTACACACACTATCAACATTGTATAAATACCAGAAGAAGGCTTTGCCATTCCTCTGTGAATGAGGCATCGGTCCTTGACATGGCTATTCTTCTATTGAATGATATACATACACTCAGGACTTCACTTGCTGCCTACAAGTTTCCATTCTCATAAACACTGATAAGCATCATGCGTGACATTTTTATTTCAACATACATGTAACTATATTTTGATCACCCAGTCTTCTAGGTGGAAACTATGATGGGTCTTGGATAATTGTGGTCAGAGGAAGTATAGTTTATGTGAGTTGGCTTACTTGGTTTTCCATTATTGCCACAATGTTTGAGATGCAACTTAAAAAGAAAAGTTTGCTTTAGCTTAAAGTTTTGGGGCTTACAGATCAGAAAAAAAATAAAGAGAAAAAATACCCTCCTTTGTGGCAAATAATAAAATAAGAATATGCCAGAAGCAAACTGCTCATGTCATGATTGCCAATTACTGAAAACCATGCACTTGGCACACATCTTAAAGGATTTTATTATCATCCCGTAACACCAACCTGAAGATCAAAGTACCCGTTGTTTGGCCCTTTGGTGTAAGTTCCCTGATTAAAACCACAGCAGAGTATTTGAGGAGATGGATGTTGACAGAGGACAAATCAAAAACCAAGCAGTTCTAAGGCTAAGCGCTACTCCATGTAAGATTAGAAGTTCCTATACAATCTTTCTTGCTAATCTTATATCACTAGTTCATGAGTGAAAGAAGTATTCAAATATGTTTTATGCCAAATTGAAACCTTCTTGAATTCCATTTTATACAGTAGCTTTCTAAGTATGGGCTTCTGATAAGGATCCTTCAAATGTTATTTCATCCTCTCCTCCAATAATACATATAAATATCTTTATACTAAAGTGTATTTATATGAAGGGGTTTTAAGAGAAATCAGTCAGTATAATGTTCCTGTTTTTCATTTTCTTCCTCTGCGGGAAGGACCGTGTTGTTGAAAAGTCCATGGCTGTGGTTGCCAAGGAAAGCCCCTCTGAGGAGCTGACAAAGAGTCACCGCAGAAACACATCTGGGCCACCTTCCATCGCCGTGTCGGGTGCCTCCCTTTCTTCAGGTAGGTAGTCACAATATGAGCACTGTACTGCTAAAAAAAAAAAAAAGACTGAAACAAATCGAATTGCCTGCTTTATAGGGTACTGAGTAGATGTTTTAGACTTGAGAAGACAATCATCCATTATAGTAATAGGTCAAAGCATAACCAGTTTCCAAGAGTGATCCCAGGTGAGCCTTAGGTCCAATGCACTAAAATAAAATCTACTTATTGAATGTATAGCTTTGCTCTAAGTCATTGTTATGGTTCAAAGCTATACAAGGCTATCAATTTAGAAAGATAGAAAATACAAATAGTTCTAGGGTACATTTCTTATGACGGGTAATAACTCTCGCCTAGGGATCAAGGAAATGAAAGTTCCATCAGTAGAGACCAGACATTCCATATACCCACACAAACTGTTTCATCCTTTAAAACGGAATTATTTGTAAGTAGCTTGGTGTGCTTCCTATTGTGGTGATAAACACCATGACCTAAGGCAACTTGGAGAAGAATGGGTTTATTTCCTTATATAGCTTATAGTCTCTCATGAAGGGAAAGCAGGAACTAATGACAGACTGTCAGACTGTGGACAAATGTGGTTTACTAGCTTGCTCCTCACAGCTTGCTCAACCTGCTTCCATCTACACCCCAGGACCACCTGTTCAGGGGTAGTGTTGGCAACACTGATCTGGTTCCTTCCATATTAATAACCATCAAGAAAATTCCTCACAGACTTACCTACTGGCCAATCTGAGAGAGGGAGACATTTTCTCAACTGACCTTGCCTCTTCCCAGTAATAAGAGTTAAAAAAAGAGCCATGAGTCTAAAAACGTTTGGGTGGGGTGTGTACATGGGATGGTTTGGAGGGACCTAAGGGAAGGGGAAGTGATAAAATTATACTATAATTTCAAATATATATTAAAATAAATAAGTTATCTCTACATACGTATCGCCTACGGCCCTTTTCATTGAATACTTAACATTCCAGAAACTGTCAATTAAACTAACTGCATTCAGGTTTACCAACAAGTTCAGAAAATGCTGAATCGCAAACAAACTCCCATAAAGCAACTTCTCAAGGATAAAGAGAAAAACAGTGTAAAAAGATACCAAGTTCGGGGCTGGAGAGATGACTCAGTGGTTAAGAGCATCGCCTGCTTTTCCAAAGGTCCTGAGATCAATTCCCAGCAACCACATGGTGGCTCACAACCATCTGCAAAGAGATCTGGCGCCCTCTTCTGGCCTTCAGGCATACAGACAGAATATTGTATACATAATAAATAAATAAATATTTTTTTAAAAAAAGGTACCAAGTTTTGAATCTATGTACGCAATGGTTGTTTCAAATCTTTTACGTGAAATGTGTGAAGAACCAAGAAGGTCTGGGACCTGGTCACCCCTATAGTGTGTGGATTCTGTATCTCTCTCACAGAATAGAATGAGGAGAATAAGGAGAGCCAAGGAAGAAGGATTTGAAAAACCTCAATCACATCTTGTCAGTAATGCCTTTTGAAACATATTCTTCCATCTCTCAATGCCCACATTTTCTCCATGGACAAACTCTATAGACTTTAACATTGTTGGGTTTAATTTATTGAAGAAGTAAAACTGTTATCAAGGTTTCCTGCTCATGCAATTCTAGTGACAAGAGGGGCCGGGAAATATAGTATTTCACTAAATCATCAAAAGCCTGACCTTGGAAAGCTTTTAGCAAATTTCTGTGATTTAAAAAAAAAACAGTGTCTTAGTTTGTTGATGGCACAGCTGCATGTGTTGATTTTAAAGGAGCAATAATGATAATAATAAAAGCAAGTTTTGAAAAGAAGCTAGCCCTATTTATTGCTTTGGAATTTTTATAATAAAATGTTTTTAGACTCTAAAAATAAATAAATAAATAAAATAAATAAGTACAATATCATCTCTATAAGAGGAATTCCATGATACTTTAAAGAAAAAACTATCAAGCATGTATATTAAAGATATTAGCAAGAAATCTTTTTATTTATATAGATATTTATATTGCAGTTTATTACCTATGAGTAAGAAAATTCTTCAGAGAAATACATTGTTATTGTAATACTTATGTACCATATGCTGAACTCAATTCATGATTAAATGCTCAGCATTAAACCATTATCTATTGCTAAAGGATAATATCTGCATGCTGCCTAAGGCTGGATTCTAGCTTGTAACTTGACTTGCAAAGAGGCCTTTTCTAGGCAACAGGCTCCTAAAGGGTTTGTGTGTGCATGTTTTTGTGTGTTTGTGGGCATACCCATGTACAGGTGTGGCACTGGGGACCGGAGATCTCTAAAAATGCATGTTCTTAAAATTAGGAAAGGGGGCCCAACAACAAGGTGAAGTGGGTAAAGGCACTTGCTGCCAACCCTGACAACCTGTGTTCAGTTCCCTAGGCCCACATGATGAAAGGAGAGAACCAACTCCCAAAAGCTGTCCTGTGATTTTCACTTTTGCATCATGGCACACATGAATGTGCACATACGTTAAATAAATGAATATATTTTTTAAAAGAAAGATAATAAAGTAGTTCACTCATTTGATGAAAAACTGTAACATATCCTAGACGCTAACGTCATGAAGTTACCTTCTACTGCATGTCTTCCACAACCGCCGATCATTTAGAGTGTATTCTACCAGGCACTGTGCTAAACCCCTCCTCATCACTCTATTTGCCATTTCAAACTTAAGTATCTGATTGCTCTCTCCAGTCTCTCTCCTCCATAAGCAACTATATTTGTCTCAGCAGGGCTTTAGAACAGAACTATTCTGTGAAAGTAAGCTGCCCTGACTTGGTAAGGTGTCTACAGCATTGCTGAGAAGCACATCATTTTTTCACTGTTAATTTAAAAACTGAAATAAAGATCTTCTATTCATGAAGGAATGTTCTAGTAGCTAATGAAATTAAAACCTCTCAATCTCTCTATAGTCACTCCCTTTTGCATGAAAGGAAGTCACATCATTTAAAAGTGGAAATTTATGATCGGTTGACTTCATCTTATGTCAAATGTGGAAACAGTGAATTCTCTTCAAGAATGTTAAGTTCTTTTCTTGTCAAGCTTAAGGACCCAATCTATGAGCATTTTTAGTATTTCAAAAGGAGTAAATCAGAATCTTTAAACAGCTTAAACCTACCCTTGGATCTTATAATAGAGCATTTAACTCCCTGTGATCAAAGGACAAATGAACACAGATGTGTTCATGGTCGAATTAAGGCAATTTCAAAAACACTATAAAAATGTGAGTGTGTCAAATTAAAGCAGCATGGAGTTTGTGAGCCTGGATGCTGTTTTTACTGTATTGTATTCTCTCTGTCTCTCTGTCTCTGTCTCTGTCTCTGTCTCTGTCTCTCTCTCTCTCTCTCTCTCTGTGTGTGTGTATGCATGTATAAACTGAAATATTGAAATACTTAAATGTTTGCAATGGAAATGCAGAACCACGATGGAATAAGCTGGTTCACATCTGCATTTCGTATTTATCCCTCCAGACCGAAGTCAATCTGAGTTAGATTTCAGTGAGTCATTTACAGAAGACGTAGAGGATACTTCAAGCATAAGAAGCAGATCTGTCCCTGGGACATTAGACAAAGACTTGGTAAGTTGGATGCGGGAGAAAGTTCGATAACACATGGAAAGAAAGGCATGATCTTGCTTCAAGCATTTGCAGTTTTAGGTGACAAGTTGAGGGTAGAAAGAAGACACAGAATATGTCTTCTGGTAGATTTTATGATCAAATATAAAAGTAACTAAAACACTGTAATTGAAAAACTAAAAACAGTACTGCAATTAAAATTGCAATATATACATGTAATTTGAGATGATATAAAGAAAGAGCAATGAATTAAAAATTATATAGTAAGAGAAAGTACATTGTGTTCTCAGTATGAATGGGATATTTAATATGTACATGAAATGAAGTAACATTATATTCCAACTATATATTAAAAACACATAAAACTGTGTTTTATAAAGCCACAACCTTGTGGTAAAATTTTAGTTATATCTATAAAACTGTACTTTAACAGTTTAACTCCAGACAGTTGCATGGCTGTGGCAGACTGAGGAGTCACTGACAGTGGCACCAGGTTTTATTCCTACTGCATGCACTGAATTTTTGGGAACCCATTATCTTTGAATGGATTCCTTGCTCAGCCTAGATACAGTAGAAAGGGCCTTGGACCTTCCCCATCAATGTGCCTTACCCTCTCCGAGGAGTGGATGGGGATGGGGTATAAGTGGAGGAAATGGGAGGATGGAACTTGGATTGATAAATATAATGAAAAAAAGATAGTTTTGTTTTCTTTTTAAAAATAAAAATGAAAATTGATTGATGAAAGTCATTAAAATATGATTTCAAACAGTCACAGTATATGCCATTTTAAATGTTGATATTATTAAGCCATTTACATTACAACTTAGAATACATCATGGATTTTCATATTAATAAATAAGGTTCTGGGGGTTTGGAAAATGCAATAAGATAAAATAGAAATGTTTTATAAGTTTTTAGAATGTTTTTATAAGGGCTCATAATAAATTGGGCCGTTCCACATTAATCAATCAAGAAAATGCCCCCACAGACTTGCCTACAGGCCAATCTGATAAGGATATTTTCTCAACTGAGGTTCCCTCTTTCCAGATAGACCTAACCAGAATAATGGGCATTAAAAAGGAAATGACATACTGAAAATGGAATTGAGGAAGAGATTGTAGCTTGTCTGTTTTAGTAGCAATTTTGTGATTGTCTGCTCATGATTGGCTAAGACTCATCTACAGTTATCTAAGTTACAGCTATTTACATATCAAGTTATTTTGTGGTGCATTGTGTATGGAAACACCTTTAGGCCAAACTTAAATTTTATATGGAAGCCTCTTTGGGTCAAACTTAAAATTTCCTATGGAAAAATTCAAGGTGTATACAGCTTTACAAATGAATTCCATCAAATACTTGAGCTTATTGCTGTTGTAGACACAGTATCACTCTGTAACCCAGACTAGACTGGTACTATGTAGCCCAGGCTGTCCCTAAACTTGCATGCAGTCCTCTGACCCTAGCTTCCCTAATAATGATGTTAAAGGTGTGAGCCACCAGGCCTGGTCCATTAAGTATTTGAAAAAGAAACCATGCAATTCACAAATTCAGTCAGAAAGTTGAGGGCATGATGGTAGTATTCCCATAGTCCATTACTTCTCTGGTTAACAAAGCTCCATAGGCATCACGAGAAGAGAAAACAGCAGCTCAGAACATAGAACGAATACAAGTGCTATTCTTTAATAAAATCTCAATAAGCCCCATCCTCTTACAAAAAGAAAAAAAGAATCACATACTATAACTAAGTGAGATTTACTCCATAGAAGCAAGGTTGATCAACCATTTAAAAAAATAAATGAATGTAGGGGCTGGAAAGAGAGCTTAAAAGTTAAGAATACTTACTGCTCTTAAAGAGGACCTGAATACTTTTAATTAATTTATTTATTAAAAAAACCCTATCTGTTCTCATTTTACATAACAATCCCAGTTCTCACTCCCACCCCTCCTCCTGTTCTTGCCACCTTCCTCCCAGTCCACTCCCAATCCACTCCTCAGAGAGGGTAAGGCTTCCCATGGGGAGTCACCAAAGTCTAGCACATTGCTTTGTTGCAGGACCAAGGTCCTTCCCATTATATCTAGGCTGAGGAAAGTATTCTTCAAAAAAGAATGGATTCCAAAAATACAATGCAAGCAGTAGGGATAAATCCTGGTCCCACTGCCAGTGGCCCCTCAGTCTGCCCCAGCCACACAACTGCCACCCACATTCAGAGGGCCTAGTTTAGTCCTATGCAGGTTCTCCTATTGTCAGTCTGGAGCCAGTGAGCTCCCATTAGCTTGGGTCAGCTGTTTCACTGGATATCACCATCATGGTCTTGACTCCTTCGCTCATATTATCACCCCTCCCTTTCTTCAACTGGACTTTGGGAGCTCAACCCAGTGCTCTAATGCAGGTCTCTGCATCTGCTTCCACCAGTTGCTGGATGAAGTTCTATGATGACAACTAAGTTAGGCATCAATCTGAATACAGGACAAGGCCAGTTCGGGCACCCTCTCCACTACTGATTAATGTCTTAGCTGGGGTCATCCTTGTGGATTCCTTGGAATTTCTCTAGTGCCAGTTTTCTAGCTAGTCTGGTTATTGGCTCCCTCAATCAAGATTTTGTTCCTAGCACCTACATCAGCTGACTCACAAGTATATCTAATTCTAGTTCCAGGGGATCTGACACCCTCTTCTGGCCTCCATGAGTACATACACATAGAAATCAAAATAAAATGTATAGCTTTTAAAATTAAATGAAGGCAATATTAGAAAATTACTAGCCATAATATCTCAGTAGGAGAAAAATTATTTGAAAAAACCATATATATATATATATATATATATATAAACCTCAACAAGCTAGAATGAAGAATTTCTTCAACCTAATGAAGGGCATGTATAAACAATACAATTAAAGTGGTACTTAATGGCAAAAATGAATAAATGATGTCTAAGTCCAACATATAATCAGAGTTCCTTCATTCAACATTGCACAGGAAGGTAGAGCTATTGGTATAAAAGGGATAAAGAAAAGAATGGAAAAGACAAAGTAAAGAAAGGTTCTCAGTGGGGAAAAACAGTTTCAGTGTCATTAATTTTCAGATGATGTGATCCTATGTGTAGAAAATCCTAAATGATATAAAATATGGTATGACTGCAGCTAATTCATAAAGGTTCCAAGACAAAAGATTAATATAAAAAGCAATAATATGTTATATGCTATCAGTAAACAGTAGGAAACAAAGTTAAGAATGTAATCCTATCAATAATGTGAAAATAGTTTTAAAAAGTAGAAAATAAGTGCATATTAAAAAGTATAAGGCATACTTTGTGACTTACAAAGTTTTATTGACGTAAATTAGAGACCTGAATAAACGAAGAGATAATTCATTTATAGATTAGAAAATTTTGTGTTTTTAAGAAGAAAATTCCTTCCAGGTTAATCTAGTGAATATATACCAATCAAATTCAACTAAGATATTCTATAGAAATGAATATGAGAATTTTGAAATTCATATGAACTTACTAGGAGACCAGAACAAAATTTTAACAAAGTTGAATGACTTGCATGATTTGATTTTAAATAGCTTCATTTATAAAGTTATTGGTGTAAGTACAGGCAATACATCGACAGAGCACCATAATTGTTATGCGTGATTCACTTAAGAAAAATTGAATTTCATCAAGATTAAAAGTATTTGTACTACTATAAACACTGTTACAAAAATGAAAACAGACATAAATGTTTGTGAATCATATATTTGTTAAGAACTTCTGTCTTGGACATATATATGGGTACCCTACATTCAATAGTAAAAAGACAAATAGTCACCTTCGTGTGTAAAAGACTTTAAAGCTAAATAGTTGTTACTATGAATTCTTTATATTAATCTTTCTACTTTTATGAATGCATGAACACACTTTTGAACACATCCCTTCTCATCTGGATGCTTAGAAGTTTTTGTAATAATCTACTTTTAAAAGAAAGTAAAGAGACAAGGATGAACCCAGCTAAGACCCTAAGCAATAAAGGAGAGGGTGCCCAAGCTGGCCTTGTCCTGTAGTCAGACTGATGAATATCTTAAATATCACCATAGAGCTTTCATCCAGCAACTGATGGAAACAGAGGCAAAGACTCACAATGAAGCACTGGGCTGAGCTCCCAAAGTCCAGTTGAAGAGTGAGAGGAATGAGAATATGAGCAAAGAGGTCAAGACCATGATGGGTTCATCCACTGAAACAGTTTACCTGAGCTAATGGGAGCTCACCAACTCCAGCAGGACAGGGAAGGAACAAGCATAAGACCAAACTAGTCCCTCTGAATGTGGTTGACAAATGTATGGCTGGGGCAGACTGGGGGTCCACTGGCAGTGGCACTGGGATTTATCCCTACTGCTTGTACTGGCTTTTTGGAAACTTATTCTCTTTGAATGGATACCTTGCTCAGCCTAGATATAGTAGGGAGGGCCTTGGGCCTTCCACAAAGCAAGTTTCTTACCCACTCTGAAGAGTGATTGGGGGTGTGGTGGGGGTATGTGGAGGGAATGGGAGGAGAGGAGGGAGTGGAAACTTGGATTGGTATATATAATGAAAAAAGATTGTTTTCTTTTAAAAACAATTAAATAAAATAGTAAAGTAAAGAGACATGATGACTAGAAGTTTGTGTTATAACCAGTTTATAAGTGTACACTCAGAAATAGGAAATGTAGTAAATACAGAAAAAGCACTCGTTGATGCAGTAGTAAGGATATTTTTGCCATACTTTAAAGAAATGTCTAGTTTGAAAGTATTCAAGATGATAAATAAATAATAATTCAGACCAGAAATATTAAATTCTTAAAAACTTCCAGTAGAAATATGATTTAATATAAATAAAGATCCAATTAGTATCAGTTTTCTATGGTAACACTGAGTACAAGATGAAAGCAGTAATATTTTTAAATTATTTTAAGAAAACTATTTTAGACTCAAGCCTTTAAAAACCTACTTAAATATAGCATGACCTCCAAGACATACTCAACAAGAGCCCATATTAAAAGCAGTTTAGGTTCAAATATACTTATGCAAAGAAGAAATCTTAGAACTATTGCAAAAGGTTTTAAAAGCAAATGTCATTACATAAATTGGCCAAGTTATACTAAAAAAAAGCTAAGATGAAAGAAGCAGAAAATAAAGGAAACACATTAAACAAGTCTTTTAATTCTGATTAAAAATCACTAATCCTATAGCACTTATATTAAGCATCAAAAACAAAAAATGGAACTCATGAATTACCCAAAACAAAATCATTCATGAATTTTTATGTTAAAAATGCATTGCTAAAAATTAGTTAAGAAAGAAATCATAACAGAGATAGGGTAGAAAGAGCCTGGAGCAAGAGGGAGAGTGTGTGTGAGAGAGAGATGTGTGTGGCAGCAGGGCAGGGTGCAACTCTGAACTAAATATCTGGTGCATTGTCCAATACACAAGCCATAGAGACCAGGAAGGTGGAAATTAAACCCAGATCTGAAGAATTCCAAATTTCCTTCAAGAAAGTGATGCTAGAAAAGATACCCTCTAATGCCCAACCCCTGTCTACTCCTTTGATTTTATAATTAAGATTAACTGAAAATGCAAAAACCTAAGCCTGTTTTTCTTTGATTTTCCAACTGTTTGTGAGATAAACCTTTATTTCATTTAAAAAGATATCCTCCTATGGTAAAAATAAGCTTAAACTATTGACTTTTACATCCTTTCTAGAACTCCTTAGAAGATGCTGAAAATGATGCCAATGACTTAGTGTCCTCTGGGTTTTCTGCAAGTCCCCACAGTCTGGCAACAGGCCTTTCAATGGTAAGCATTCTCACAGAAACTTTCTTTATCTTGTTCATTCCCTGTGCATTTTCAAGAGGTGGGAAGGTTTGATCATACGTCCCAAGCTGCCACAGGTTCCTGCTTGCCCTGTGCCCATACACCACCTTACACTCTATTTTGATACTTGAATCCTTTCTTTTCTGCCATGATCATAATCCAGCTTTTGAACTGGATTCATTTCCATTTTATAAAGTCCTGGATAAAGAAGAGTTTGAAAACTCACAGCACAAAAAATTAAATGGTGAAGGAGTTAGAAAGGCTAATTGCGATGATATGATCATTGACAGGTGCATGAGTCTTTGGCACTCCTATAAACATACACAATTGTTTCGTAAATATCTGCAGAAATTCTTAAATTTCTTCATTTTCTAATTTAGGCCCAGTCATCTGAAGTCTATAAATTATTCCAATTCTCTGTTGATAAGTTCTTCTCATATCATTCTCACAATTCCCCAAATGTTCTCTGCACTACTGCCAGCCATTTTCCTACAAAACATCCCTACTTTCCTTTCTTTCCTACTCAAAAGAACTGCTCAGAGTTTCCCAGTGTCTTCAAGGAAAACTCTGCTCTTACCTTGAGTTAAAAATCCCCTTTGAGAGCCTTTAGATACCAACATACTATTGTATCTGTGCATTTCTTTGCTTCTCTGATTTCGATGCTCTAATACCCTTTTTCTTTTGGTCATTGGATGGCATCCTTAAAGAACTCCCAAGCAGGATCTGATAGGAAGAGGAGCTACCTAAATGTGCCTGATGCTGATTCAGACACCGTGAGTCTTCACCCTTGCTATTTTCCCCTTTCCAACCATACTTCAGAAGTTCCATGGTTTGAGAAATATGATTGGATTAGCAGTTCCACTTGTTTTCTGACTGGTACACAGCCAGATACTCCTTTCAGAAGGGATTCATAAGCTGAAACATCTCAATAGTTCCAGTTCATTAAATGTTAGAATCTGAGTACCAGTCAAAAGACATGTCCCAAAATGGTTTATTGATGAGTATCTCTATTTTAAGTCACAGCCATGTTTTGATTTTAAAAAAGTGGTTTATCAGTAGTAAAATTGTCATAATTAATTTAAATCCTCCCAAGTCTCAATTTTGTGACTGCTTAAATTTTTTCTACTCATAGGGATCCCTCATCCTTGTCTGATCATATAGTTACAGGAGGCTTTGTTGAAAGTATGGGTCAGTTATACAAGAAGGTGTTGAGTTGTAGTCCACACGGCTTTTGACTAGAAACCCAGAACTTTTCTCTGTGGCATCCTGCACACCTGGAACTGTGGTCAGGCAAGGGTCTGGAGATTAAAGAATACACGGAGACGTGGGTCACTCTTGAAGCAACAATGCCAATTTTATTATGTTCCAAGGCAGCTTATATAGTGTTCTCCTTGACTAGTGGCCATGCCCCAGCTCTCAGGATTTTCTAGTGAAGCTTCCAGAAACCATTTCCTTGTCATCAGGAGCTCATGTGGGTTTTGGGCTCAGAGCAGCTGCAAGCATAGAAAAACAAGTTATTTACTTCCAGCAGGCAAAAGTGATAGAAAGTACAGGGTCTGTGGGTATGCAGCTCCCAACATTCCTCTATGGCTTAGTTTTACTAACAAATTTGTGAACCAGAGTTTCTCCGTGTGTAGATTAGTTGAGGTTCATTCATGAAGCTCTTAAGGCTTGAACCATGCTCCATATATCAACAATATTGTATAACCATGGACCCCCAAACTTTCCCAATTAATGCAGCCCCTAGAATCTCAATAATTCTCTAATGTAACTCCTAAGTGAGAAGAAGTAAGGACTAGTTTCCCAAAAACTTAAGAACAGAATTTTTTAATTTACCTGAATTATTCTTTTTTCAAATAGTGATTAAGTTCTGAACTTAAGTGCTTTCATTACTTACTAACAGCATGTGTGTACTTGCTGAGTACTATATAGTTTTTCAGATCTTAGAATCTCATTAGATAGCACCATATTCAACCAAAATTAATGTTTCTGCTTTTTTTGCCTTGAGAAAAGTTCATTTTGTTTGAGAAACTCAAGATCCTTCTGCCTTCATCTCCCAAATTCTCAGATGAAGGGCATGCACCACCATACCTGCATTCTATATAGATTTTAATGGATTTTTTAGATTGAAGAAATTGTCAAAAGTTCATCATATCACAAATAGTAATTCATTATAAAAATAAAGTATGATCTTAATAATGACACTGCAACCTGCTAGTTAGTGTTTTACCAACTCTGTATGCTGTCTGATGTATGCTGCTGTAGCTGTGTTTCCCTTTTAAATCTTTTTTGGAACTCCTTGAATTTACAGTGATACTCTGGGGTACAAGCACACATTATTCGGGCCCTAAGATCTAGTTGTCTGTAGAAAAACTAAAATGCCAGACTGTAATCCAGACTTAATCTTCATTCTAAAATGATCTTCAGTAGATTTTTTATGTAGTTAACATTTTAAATTCTGTTGCATTATTTTAAGAATAAGAAAGACAAATTCTGTTACTTATTGATTCTCTTTAAGAAATCGCTTGTGTGGGTTGTGATAGCTCACACCTGTAAGATTTGCTGGAGGAGGCACAAGCAGGAGGATCATGTGTTCAAAATCAGCCTGGGCTATACATTAAAAGAAAAAGAAATAACATATATGCAATTTTAAAATTATTGGTTCATTCTTGCCTTTGACTTCTGTTTAAAAGAGATATTGAACTAAGTCAGATAATCCTGTTTCTTGAAAAAATACATCCTGTTTAAAACACAATAGCCTTTTAAAAACAATGACAATAAAAATCCAACCATGGACATATACAGACACAGAGATAAATAGATAGAAATATAGATACATTCATGTATCCACACATGATATATGATGGATAGATGAGATATAGATACAGATATATATCCATGTATATGAATGAATGAAAATTCTACATTCTTTGTACTTCTGTAGTCTTTGCTTCTCAGTGGAGAATAAGAGGTTAATGAAATTACTGCATCATTCATGAATGTCACTGGGTTTTTGTTTCCATCATGTTAATAAGATACAGAGTCTTTGTTTCTGGTACTTAATAATAATGCTACATTGATTTAAAATATGTATATTATGTTCTGAATGTTTTGACAGAATTTTTATTCACCCTTATAGAATTTTTTAGGTTTTTATATTAAATGAGGTCCTTAATTTCTTGGTGCTATATTTAGGTCGTTTACTATTACATGGAATTTCAAAGCCATGGTTCTTAAACTACCTATGTATCCACACAGCAATGAAGCTGGGGAACTTACTCCCTGTGAATATAGGATGTCTAGCTATACCTTTGTTAAGGCTGTAGCTGTGGTTCCCTGAGGACTGATAACACAAACCTTAAGAGTGCAAAGAAAGACACTAAGATTTTTGTTAACTCACAATGTAGAGTGAACTTTTCTTTCTTCTGATCATTATGGTCTAGATATGTAAATATATTGCATTTGAGTCTATCATCAAAAAAAGTAGACAGTGACAGGGATGGAGAAGCAAGATTGTGTTAGAAATCTCCAAATGACTCCGTATTCTTTAGAAGACATGAATAAAGGATTTTAGCTAACTTAAAGGAGATACTTCCTCTCTCGCAAGCTTTCTGCCTCCCTTACTGATGGAGCTAAGTGAGTATTCTTTTCAGGTTAGAATTTTGTGCAGCACCAGCAAAACAAGTAAAGGTATTAACTTGCTTCCTTCCCTCACCTTTGACTCCCCTGCTAGTTACATAGAACACCAACTAACATTGACTAAAGGGGGTTGAGTTTTGCATAGAGCCTGAAAATATTACTGGCTGACTTTCTTCATCTTGTTTACTACAGACCAGCCTTAACAGCATGATGAGTGTTTACAGTGAGACAGGAGACTACGGCAATGTGAAGGTAACCGGGGAAATTCTCCTCCACATCAGCTACTGCTACAAAACTGGCAACCTCTACATTTTTGTCAAGAATTGCAGAAACCTGGCCATAGGTGATGAAAAGAGACAGAGGACAGATGCGTAAGTACATGGGATGCTCCAGAGCTGTCTCTAGTACTACATTCTCTGTCTTCACTTTTCCATGTCACGCATATGTCCTCTTCAGAAGAAGTTAAGGATTACCTGTAGTTAAGAACTTTCTCAGAGTCAGGAGGTGGCAGTGCATGCCTTTAATCCCAACAACAAAGCCACTCTGGTCTACAGAGCAATTCCAGGACAGCCATAACTGTTATACAGCAAAATTCTGTCTTGATAAACCAACAAACAAACAAAATCAAAAACCTTCTTAGAAAGCTACTTGTGTCTAGGCATGGTGGTACATGCCTTTAATCCTAGCACTTGCACTCGGGAGGCAGAAGCAGGAGGATCTCTGTGAGTTTAAGATCAGCCTGGTCTACAAAGTGAGTTCCAGGACTGCCAGGGTTGTTACACAGAGAAACCCTGTCTCAAAAAACAAAAGAAAGAAAGAAAAGAAAAAGAAAGAAAGCTATTTTTCATTTCCTTCCTATACTGTAGTTCTAAATATTCTCTGGAGTATGAATATAAATATTGTATCCCCGATTATCTGATTTGAAAGAGGCCTTTAAATGATTCAGAACTAACAGAGGCCACTTGTGGAGGAAGAAAACTGACATATTGGCACACAGCATGATGCCTAAGAGGGTTGTGCTGATTGCTTAAAATATTTTTCATGCAGTATATTGTGATCATATTCTTTTCCCTCTCAACCCTCCCAGATTCCCCCTACCAACTTTATGTTCTTTCTCTCTCTTAGAACAAAACTAAAGCATGTGTGTGCACGCATGTGTGCATATGCGTGTGCACAACACACACACACACAATACAGAGTCCAATTTGTGCTAGTCAACTACTCCTGAGCATGAGGCCTGCTTTGGAGTATACTTGATTATACCCAGTGTTACGCCATTGAAGAAATCCATTTTCTCTCTCCCAGCATCTCTTAATCATCAATAGCTTCTAAGAGGGGGGGGGGTGTGATTTGTTGCTCATTTTATACTCTCTAAATTTTAGATGGCTAAATGACAAACATAATTATTTTGGCTTGCATAGAAAGGAATCATCTAAAACCCCAGTGGATGTGTTTCAGAACTCTAGTATAATATGTTTCAATCTTGTTCTTGTCTCTGTCTTTTCTAATGTCTCTGTCCCAAAACACTTCTAAAATGGCTAGCCAACACAAGCCAAGAAATGGCATTGAAATTCTGTCAAGTTGCCATTTTCCATTGCTTCCAATTCACTGCTTTCTTTCTTTCATTCCAATTAACCCTGTGCCCTGACATCAGAAGATAGAGCTAGTAATGGAGAGACATATATCTCAGAAAAGGTTGTAAGATCATTGTTGTTAGCAGATTCCATTTGTGCAGTAGTACAATATGGCAGCTCCTCCTATATGTTTCATGAGTTAGGTATTGCTGATATCCCACTTTCTACATTTGAGGAAACAGATAAAGAAAAGTTAAAAACCCAAGGCTATCAAAAGCAGTGATGCATGGGTAGTTCTCCACCAATATACAACACTGCTTCTTTCTTATAGAAAGCCCAGAATTATATTTATGACACCCTGAAGTCTCTTATTTCTATATCTTTTATCCACTTACCCATTCCCTTTACTCACTAAAGTCCTGGAATATTTCTAGTAAAGTTTATGTTTGTAAATAATGATTTTTTTTATCCTATGTTATTTACAGTTATGTCAAGTCATACCTTCTTCCAGACAAGTCCCGAAACAATAAGCGCAAGACCAAAATCAGAACAGGCACCAATCCAGAATTTAACGAAACACTTAAGGTAAATAAATACCAATATAGGGACTTATGTCATATTAACTAGAACTTCTTTAATTTATAATAAACTACAGGTCAGAAGGTTGTGGCGGGGTATTGTTAAAAGTTCAAGGCTAGTCTGAGATAGCATGGTGACATTCAAACAAGCTTGGCCTACAGAAGAAGACTAGTCCCTATTTCAAAAATACAAAGATACCAAAAAGAAATGAAGAAATAACTAAATGGAGCATTTGTGAATTCCAAAGTTTATATGTGTTTTGGAAAGCTTGAATTTGAATGTTATTAACTTTCTGGAAGTTTATGGAAAAGAAAAAAACAGTAAACTATCCTTGCTCTGGTCATTCTCCACTATTTCTGGGGTTGTGCCTTATGTCAAGATGAGCCAGGAAACTGCAAATTAAATCTAAGCTGGTATATCTTGTCACAAAATAAGTTGCTCCTTTGAGAAATCAGCTTTCTTGGACATTTTTCTTAAATGAACTTTGTCACTAACTCAGCAAATCACTTTGTACATATTTATTGTTTTGTGTTGTTTCTTATTAGGATCTCTGAGTTTGGATAAATATAGGTGTGTGGTTAATGAGCACTAGCAATGCAAGGTCAGGTTTGAGAAGTCTCAGAAAATGCCTAGATAAAACATGATCCAGACTTTGGGTTCTAAATTCTAAAGAAATTTCTATTTCTAATGGGTAGCCATAAACAACCCCTTCTTTCACTTTGAATCCACATGGCCTGGTAAGAAAGACAAAGGAAAGATAAAATAAATTAATAATATTAATAATCATAAGAAAATGTTTTAACTTGTGCCCAGAGTAATGGATTCAGAGTTTATCACACTGAGCAGTAGTGATGGGAGAAAGCCACAAGTTGTCCACATACGTTAGGAGAGGTACGTGTGGAAGCAGGGGTCAATATTAAGACAGACCAAATGAAAAATGAACAAATGCAGGCTGACTTTGAATCCACTGGTCATAATAGGGTAGCAAAGATGATCCCAAGCAGAACACATAATTACAGTGACAGATAAATTCAGGAGGTAGAGAGCTAAAATTAGTCATGATGGTAACAGCTGGGACAGGGATACATGCAAATCCAAGCTCAGAAATGAGTCAGTCTGAAGCATGACCCAGATGGATATACAGAACAACAGAAGATTAGAGAATATGTGGTCACGTGGCCATGCTGAACATTTTGCTGGAAAATATTGTGCTGCAAACCCCATAGTATTTATTTTCTGCTAAACCTGTGTGTAGTTTTAACTTCGACTGGGATTTATGAATCTTAGGCTACAATTTCACATGTTAATACTTGTCTGCATTCGAGGTTTTTTATTATGAATTAGTAAACTGGTGTATGGTTATATTAAACCTAGAGCTACAAAGTAGACTTGACAAAAACAAACAGGGAAATGACAAAAAAGAAAACCAAGTAAAATTGGAAAGAGCTTTCCTCTTCACCTAATACTTTCAATATTGTCCCTGAAGTTTGTTGACCCCTATAATAATTTGTTTATTAATATATGTGTGTGTATGTATGTATACATGTATATATGTAATGTGTATGTATAGTTCTTAACTAGGTAAAACCTAAAATGTGTTTTAAAGCATATCTTCAATTGTAGCAAAAGTATCAGGGTTTTTTTTTCATATTGCTGATGCCTATGGTCTGAAAATTGGTGAAGTAAACTTTAGCCTGCTCTACAATTAGATCGAATCCTCACTGCAGAGTGTGATTCTTTACTTCTCATTTGTAGTATACCATCAGCCACACCCAGCTGGAAACAAGAACTCTGCAGCTCTCAGTCTGGCACTACGATCGCTTTGGGCACAACAGTTTTCTTGGAGAGGTGGAGATAGCTTTTGACTTATGGAACTTTGAAAACCCATGTGATGAGTGGTTTGTGCTTCAGCCCAAGGTAGGAAATACTTTCAGATTAGTCCACCAGCTACACAATTAGACAAGCGTGAACAAATGTGATAGTTTAGGCCTGAAAATGCTGAAGGCTTCTATTTTCAAGTAATAACAAATATTATTGTAATTTTAATAGATACTATAAATCCGTTATTTTAGAAGCTCTTCATAGATGCATGTTGTATAATATAAAAATATGTAATCATATATGAATAACTTTTATTACTTAAATCCATTTATCATTTGAAGATCTTCATGGATTGCTAAAGACCATCCTACATGATCCTATTATAACAAGAAAGCCTTTTTTATGCCATCAAAAACATATCCACAGAGTATGACCACTTTCAAAACATTATCTCTCTTTTTCATAGGCAGGGATGGTCTTCTTGGCTCACACGAAAAAGCAACTACTTGCCAAAATATTTTTACTTTAGGGATTCATAAAATGGCCGTGTAATCTAGCATGTTCAGTCCTAGAACAACAAAGCCTTGAATTCATTATAACCAACTAAATTTCTTGAGATTTACTGTCAGTTTCTAAGTAAGAAAGAGAATGAAAAGGTTACATTTGTGCTGCCAGAGATTATTCTTTATATGTTGTAGCAAAAGGTCATTCGGTAAAGGTAGTGAACTGAAATTAGCATTGATTTCCTCATGGCTTCAAAATGCCTATGTGATCTTGAGCAAGTTACTTTCTCAACCTTGATATTCTAATTTGTAACATAATAATCAGTATGGTATCTGTCACTATAACTCTGAGACCTGGGATATCTGAAGTGCTTGGTTCTCTTAGAGAATTGGTATTATATTTGTGTAAGCATTTTCTATAAGCCTGTCAGCATTCTGTTAGGCACACTGTAAACTGTAAATAAAAGCTTGGTAGTATTTGCATTGATTAGTAGCTTGACCCAGATTGGCAAATCTTACCTAGACTTTGGAGTCTCGGCTTTCTATACTTCTTTGGCTTCAGTTTCAGGTACACACATCATTGACCTCTCTTCCTAGCTCCACGAATGCTAAACCTGTACTTTATTAGCTCTGCACTATACTGTTCAGAAAAGAAAACTTTTTTTTTCTCTTCTAACAGTCAAAACAATGTCTTTGGCCTGCCTGGTTCTCTTAACTCTAAATATATTATCCTTCCAATCGTAAGCTGATAACTTGCCAGTGAGGTAAGATGTAGTGGTTGGAATAAAAATATTGAAAACACAGTCTGGTCAGAACTGTAGGATAGCCACAAAAAATCAGACCCAATAGATATAACTAATTTGAAAGTTGATGTGGGAGCCCCCTATTGTGCTGTGATTATCATTAATGAATAAAGAAAATGTTTTGGACCTATAGCAAGGCAGAACTTAGGTAGTCAGGGAATGCTGGACTGAATGTTGGGAGAAGGAAGAGCTGAGTCAGGGGACGCCATAGAGCCTCCACCAGAGATAGACATGCTGAAACTTTGCTGGTAGGCCACAACCTGGGGATGATACACAGATCAATAGAAATGGGTTAAATTAACATGTGAGAGTAAGCCAATAAGAAGCTAGAGCTAATTGGCCAAGCAGTGATTTAATTAATACAGTTTCTGTGTGCTTATTTCTGGGCTAAGAGGCCGGGCACAACAAGTGGCTCTCTCCTCATAAAGAAAGTAAGCAATGTTAGAGAGAAAAACCAAGTGATGTTACCCATAGCATTATCAGTGGCAATATCACTGGTAGTTAATAGCCACAACCCCATGAGGTAAGTAATATTCTCCCCATCTTATAGATAAAGAAGTTGAGACTTAGAAATTAAATTTGACTTGTTTGTGGAGTTTGTAAACTACTGCCCTTAAAGTTAGTGTAAACAACTCATAAAAATTTTAGGATATATATGCCCTGTATGAAATAAAGTTTTAAAATTCTTAAGTGCCCTTGTTAATAGCTACCAATACAGATTCTGGTTCAGCTTAGGCATCAAGATTTCTTACTATTCACAATTGTGTCGTAGAGTAATGGATAAGTGAGAAGCTTAAGTCCTAACGACAATTCTATGGAACACCTCTAGTGAATAGTACCAGCAGCTTCCTTTCTCTGCCTCTTACAGACCTCTTATCCTTAAACTGCAACTCTACACATTTTCTACTTCTTTCATTTCTCATTGTCTTGCAAGTAGAAATTAAGGTTTGTGGTTGGACCATTTACAGCATGTTTATACCAATCACAAAAAAAAAAGCCTTCTGTGCAAATAAGTGGTTGTGGTTTGGACCAATCACAAGAGTATAAGATTATTTTTGCCACATATAATAAGCATCTTCTGCAAATGAAAATTTGCATTTTCACCAATCACAGCACTGCTTCTTTTCTAGTAGTCTTCTTTAGACCAATTATAGCACAATTTTCATGCAAATGAAGATTTTATTGATCCCAATTATAACACTGTCACTTTTTTATTAGATTGTTTTGCACCAATCATTGCAAATGAAGACTGTTTGAATCAATCATATCAATGACTACTTTACCAATAATAACAGCCTTCCTATGCAAATAAAGGACTGTGTTTGCACCAATCATAGTTTTAAGGCTGACATAATCATCTCATGCAAATGAAGAATTAAACTAAATACAGCATTGCCAGTTTTGAATAGATTTTTGAATTGCCTGTTTTGTACCATTTACATAAACTTCTTATGTAAATGAAGATTTGTACTTATACCAATCACAATAGCTTCCCTTTTGTGCCTGTCACAAAATTCCCTTATCCAAATGTTTTAGTACCAATCTTTGCTCCTTTTTTTAGCTAATCATAGCAATCCATTTTGCAAATAAAGGTTTATGTTTGTACAAATCATGCCATTTTCAAGTCCCTGTTCTAAGCACACAAGAGATGTACTCTTCCTCTAACATACCTATAAAGACTTACTGTAAGCTCATCTAGAATTTACCAAGTCTTGTGATATTAAAGATTCAGTATAGACTGGATGTACAGCCCAACATCTGAGCACTGTAAGACTAAAGCAGCTGGCTCATACTGTATGGGCACAGCAGCTACCTTGTCACGAACTTCCTTTTGTGCTGTCTGCATAAGACCTTGTGCATACATCTTGTCCTGGCAGAGAGGGTGAGTTGTAAGTACTTGTCTCCATCAGAGGCAACAGAGTTTCCTATCAAATGTAATATGACTGGCACTACCACATTTCTACAAAGTTAGAAGACTTGAAATCTTTTCCTCTCCCTCTGCTCTGCATAGATTTTGTTCAGATTGCACATTAGAAGGAACTGAGAAATGGCTGTCAACAGTATTATAACAGTTGATGGTTCAGTCCATCTTCTACCAGGAGCTAAACTGTATGTGAAAGATTCAAACTTCTTTGTTAAGCATAAGTCTACTGACAAAAAGACTGAAGAAATCATGAAAGAAGGTAATGTACTTTACCAAATGGTGATCCACAATGTCTATCTTCACAATATCCATGTGATTCCTCCATCAAAGAATAAGTATGGCTACAATAATTATAATAATAATAATAATTATTATTATTATTATTATAATAAGTGCCTGCCATGGAGCATGTGTGAAAGATAAAGCACAACTCATAGAAGTCCATTCTTTCCTGCCATGTGGCTCCTGGAGATTGCACCAGGCTTGCTGGCAAGTTCTTATCTGCTAAACTATCTTGATGGTCCCATGTTTTCCAAATTTTAAAGACATAGCCTTACAACACATAGCCTTCTGAGATGGCGCAACAGGTAAAAGCAATTGCTCTGTGGGCCTGGTAACCTGAGTTTGATCCCCAGAATCTATAAAAGGGTGGAAAGAGAGAACCTACTTGTCTTAGTTAGGGTTTCTATTGCTATGAAGAGTCGCCATGACCATAGCAACTCTTATACAGGAAAAACATTTAATTGGGTGGCTTATAGTTTTAGAGGTTTAGTCCATTTTCATCATGGCAGGACACTTGGTGGCATGCAGGCAGACATAGTGCTGGATAAGGAGCTGAGAATCCTACATCTTTGGCCCACAGGCAACAGTAAGTGAACTGAGACACTGGACATGGCTTGAGCAGATATGAAATCTCAAAGCCTACTTCCGTAGTGGCATACTTTCTTCATCAAGGCCACTAAAGCCACAACTCCTAATGCTGCCACTCCCTATGAACTTGTGGGGGCCAATTACATTCAAACTACCTTCAAAGTTTTCCTCTACCTCCACACATATGCTATGACATGTGTGCTCTCAGACAAACACACCTAGAACTCCTCAACCTTTATGTACTTAGGAATAGTAGTTGATGAATGCAAAAAGCTTAGAAAGAAAAGATAAAATGTCAAACTTGTGTGGTTTAATGTGATGATTTTTTTCACCTCCATTAAAGACAGATGATCTTCACTGATTAAAGGTCAGAAGTGACAAGACTTGATTATTGTCATTTGTCTGTTTTGTCTTTTTTTGAGACACTGTATTTTTATATAGCACTAGCTGCCTTTGAACTCACTACATAGACCAGGCTGGCCTCAAACTCACAGAGATCTGCTTGCCTTTGTCTCCCAAGTACTGGAATTAAAAGTATATACCACCATACCCAGCAAGACAGTAATTCTAGTTATAGATCTTCGTGTTGTGTGTTATAGAGTTGATTTTCACAAAATTTCTTGCTTTTTCTGCCAATAAAATAAAGGCAATAACAAACCATAAAATCAAATTCAGTACAATTATTTGAAACAGTCTCCTTCCTGTGTCAGTCATTTCAGTTCAGGTGACACACTACCGGCTGCTTAGGATTTATTGTGAGCAACCCTAGAGTCTTGAGGTTTTTATCTCTTATCCAGCTAAGGTGGAGTGTGAGTTATAGGGACTGGTTTCTCTAGTAATAAAAGATCAGAATTAATATTTCCGCAATCCTAACTTCCCTTTACAGGGGAAATGGCAGAGCAATATGCTGTTGTACTGCTTTTTCTTGTGTTACTGAAAGTCCTTCAGTACTGACAGCTTTATTTGTGTTAGGTTCTACAACAGGAGCCAGTGGGG